CACTATCGGCAAAATAACAAAAAAAATAACTAGACTTCAACCCATCAAAAGTAACTTCAACCAATCAAAAAGAACGCCGGAAAAGCACATCCCATGTTGAAGGCAATGAAGGTGTCGCGGCAACCGCGCCTAAAATGCTAAATACCGACTGTGAAGTAATTCGAGCGTTGTGCGGATGGACATAAATTTGATATTATATCATGCTCTCAAATATTTGGGCAAGACGGCACTGGAAACAAGTTTACTTTCTCAATTTCGTTAAGATAAAGTCCATAAACACGAATTGAACACCCGCAATTATTCTTTATCAAAAATAGTAGAAAACACAACACAATGAAAGCCGCAGCCGCGGCCGACAGTGAAATTCGCGTTGGATGGTTGGCGTAAATTTGATATTGAGACTCTCTCGTTAGGCAATGCGTTCATCAATTGCCCCATATGCCTTGTATACAACCGCGGCTCGATACTGACAATGAAGTTTGACAATAAATCAAGTTAACGTTATTTTGAGAATCAACAATCAACATGCTACCCTCGTACTAGCTACTAATTGTAGATCGTTGTGCATCAATACATTTTAGTTTTTAATAACTTATAAGTGCCTAAATGATTTGGTTCCAGTATATCTAAGTGATTATTTTGTTAACAGCAAAAGTTTAAAAATATCGAGATAAAGATATAAAGAGATCATCGTTTATCATGTTACTAATTATTAAACCTTTCCAAAAAACCTTTGCATTTTCGTACACAGAGTCCTTGTTTTGAATCCGGTTTTGCCTTATTTCGAGTCCGGGTTTTCAAAAGTCAAGTCCGGGTTTTGTTAAACACGAGTCCGGATTTTCTTCGAGTCCGGGTCCGGGTTTTTCTCGAGTCCGGATTTTCTTCGAGTCCGAGTCCGGGTCCGAGTCCGAGTCCGGGTTTCGAAGTTTGCCTTTATTGTTAGCATACAATGTTGATAATTAAACAAATGATAAAGAGCATTCTCCAGAGAATAGTAAGGTAAATTGGTAGTTTCCATAAACAGATCTCCAGCCAAAGGCTCACTGTATTGTAAACTATAAATGTTGTCAAAAACTGATACAAGTTCTGGAACACCAGTTAAAAGTAAATAGCTTTTGTTAACAGAGTTGCTTCAATAATGATGTATCCCTAATTAACATTCAGAATGTGATTGTGTATTATTGCAGTCAACGACATTGCTAAACATGCTTACCAGCATTTTGCCTAAATTTTCTGGTATCACCTTGGCTAAAATCTGCACATATTGTTTTGTTTGGATCTACCACATCATATGCTGTGGGTCCAGGATTTTCTTCAACATCATTTGCCATTCTTATATAATAACAGAGGAACATACGCATTGTTAATACATGACATTTGATTAAATGACATTGTCATTTGACTCAGTGAAATGAATTTTAATGCAAAATTCTGTTTTTGTTGGTAAATACACAGTGAGGTATAGTATCGCGCCATAAGGATTAATATTCTTATTGTTACAACAAGCAGAAACACATTCAATCCTATGTTTCCCAGATCAATATTTTGACATGAATTCTTTCTCATTCTGACACAATTGTGCATTCCAATTCTGGCACGATATTGTTCAATAGTTTCTCCCATTTTGTCTTCTCAATTGAACTTTGTGTTGTATAGACTGTATATAGTATGATATGCTGTGCGTGTTACTGCGTTTATAGAGAATAGACACAAAAACAGTGTTTGTTTGTTTGTTGTTCAGGCACAAATTATGCCTTGTTATGTATGTAGTCAGCAGGCGCAAATCACGCCTGATATTATATTGAAGCGAGCAAATATTTCGCTTGGTTTGAATAGCGAGTTCACACTTCGCTTTTTTTGAATATATATTGATAATAGCAAGTCACACTTGCAAGAGTGTCTAATCAGATTGTTGTTGATCAGCTTGAACACCAATCTCGTTCCCAGGGTCTTTAGGAAAGACCCTGGTATCGGCTGGTCACGTGCCTCGTCCAAAATTGATTGCCCGAGGGGGGTGTGGTGAAAGTATCAAATTACAAACAGTTAAAAACATAAATTTTGCGAACTATTATACCAGTGAGTTCAAAATACTTGCTAATTTTTGTTTATTTTATTTGCCTTGAATTTACAAGAACATTCTTACATTTTTACCAACAGTCAAGTCAAGAAACCAAGCAAATCGTTACTCGCAGTGCTCTCTCGTGTTATTATCAGCGCGGTGTTATAACAAACGTTTGTGGACCTTTATGGGCTTTTCACAGTGTATGGGCTTTTCACATATGTAATGTTTTTAAAACACGCATTAGATTTGTCCTTTCTTGTAAACGTTGCTATGCTTTGCACGTTTTGTTTATAAGATTTTTAAAATAAACAGTATTGTATTGTATTGTCTAGGACTAGAGAGTAGAGCCCAATATCAGCAAATGTAAACATTTGATACTAGCCAAATAGAGAAATGTCTGTCAGTGATTTATCTTTAAAATTTTGGATTTAGTACATAATTCGTATTCATTAATTATAGTAAGGCTTTAGCCTTTTTCTTGGTCTGATAATGTTTTCCTAATATACAGACAACTAGGCTATAATCTACATCACAAATTTACAGTGTCAGACGCGCACAGCCACAGACTGCCATACGAATACACATAAATTTTCGAGTTTTCTTCTTCTACTAAGGCTACTAACAGTTTTCATTGTGTCTCAATCATCTGTTTATTTCTAGTTCAATAAGCTCATTTATATTTCTATATTTATTTGATAGTGGCATATATAGTGATACATGTAGGCTATTTACACACAAGCAATCCTGGATATGATAGAGACGATCAGTACGAGCTGTCCATTAAAAAAAGAACGGTATTCTATTCCACAAAGCAAAAAATTTAAATCTCACTTGTATTATTAAGAATATATATAAAGCAGAAAATTTAAAGCTTGTGAGTTGTGTCAAAACGAAAGCTGTTTATAAAATTTATAAATGTGGTATAAACACAGTGCTAGGCTAAACAGTGCTCATTGAAATACGTAAATATATTATCCTTTGACTTATCTTTGATGTATGACTTTACTGTAATACTGTAGATTTTCAACAGACAGCTAGACTTTGACATATACCATGATCGTTGAGATCTTGCAGGAAATTTTATAGTCTTGACGGGATTTAAGTTTTTTGATAAGGCCTTTATAATCAACAATCTCGATACTGTTGGCGTCTTGGCGATATTTCGGAAATCAAAAGTTAAAGATCTCGCTATTTCGTTCCAATTCCACATCCCATCAATAAATAAATTCTTTTGGTCCGAGTATCAGGATATACTTTAATACTAACAGTTAAATAAATATAAACCACATTGGTCGGTCTAGAGATATGAATTTTCTTGTAGGCTTATTGCCACGCCGTCCAGGCGTGCTTTCTTTGGCAAGTCTATAAGTTGAAATCTGATCCAACTTGCTTGAATTGTAACTTGACACTAGATTATACAGCAGAAAGTCACATCGCGATAAATATTAATTTTTAATTGCAGTTGTCTTCACGATTTCTTGTTGCAAATTTAAAATCCATCACACAAAATTGCAAAAATTGTTACAAACGCGACAAACACGCTCCTCTCCCACCCTGCCCATAGTATCATTTTAATTTATCACCCAGAATCTGGGTGACACGTGACCAGCCGAAACCAGGGTCTTTCCTTCGCCTCGCGCCGTTCTAAGAAAGACCCTGGGAACGAGGTTGTCACTAGACTTGTTCGTGGACATAAAAAGCAAGTTTTTCCTGCTGCATGTGTAATCGAAAAGACGTCAAAGTTAATATTACGCGCTTTCGAATCTTATGTTCTATTCAATTTCAAGGCCTCTTGTAGCAAAATTCGAATTTGTCACGGTCTGAAAATCGTATTTTTGGAATCTATGATGAATAGACTTTCTGTTGATATCCCACTCGTGCATTACTACAGAGACGTGAATTTGGGCTAGTCTGAAAATTGTATTTTTGGAATCTATGATAAATAGGCTTTCTGTCGATGCGTTACTCGTGGATCAGTAGACTTGTCCGTGGAGGTAAAAATCAAGTTTTTCCAGCTTTGTAATCGAAAAAGACGTGAAAGTTAATATTATGCATGTATTGCTGTTTTTTGCCCATTTATGAAAAATGAGAAAATTCGACTAAAAATGGGCGATAAGTAAAGGATATATCCTTACTTTTTCGCCACTTTATTATTCTTGAGGACGTGGTTCCCTTTAGGACATGGTTCCCTTGAGGATGTGGTTCCTTCTTTCCAAAAAATAGAAAATCTTGGGGTTAGGTTACTGTGCCGTCTCTTTGGCTACTGTGTCCAAGGCCCACATTAAAATGCTCTTGACACAACCACGACTCGAACCTGGCCCACTTGCAACACTTTGTCCTTGCCACTAGACCATCTCGTCCAGAGTTACTTTAACTCCTTTCTTATTCCACTTAACTATTTCTCTTCTCGGGTGGAATAATTAACAACAACGTCCGACGTTAAAATGCTCTTGACACAACCACGACTCGAACCTGGCCCATTTGCAACACTTTGTCCTTACCACTAGACCATCTCGTCCACAGTTACTTTAAGTCCTTTCTTATTCCACTTAACTCTTTCTCGTCTCGGGTGGAATTTATTAGCAACGACACCCGACATTAAAACGCTCTTGCCACAACAGGGAATCGAACCCAGGTTCGCGCACTCGCAACACCTCGCACTTACCACTAGATCGTCTCGTCAGGCCCGGAGCTACGGGGGGGTGTGGGGGGTGTGACACCCCCCCAGTAATTGTATTCAGTCGGCAGGACTGCTATTCAGTCGGTAGAAATGCTATTTGGGTTAAATATTTTTGGCGCAAAGGGCAAGAACGTGGTGGGAATTTTAGGAAAATTTTGAGGAAAAATGTAAAAATTTTGGAAAAATGTAAAAAATGTTGAAAATTTGTTATGTTCGGAAAATTTTTGAATGTTCCGGAAAATTTTTGTACGTCCGGAAAAATTTTTGGACCCCTAAAATGGTACAATGACTGAAATTTTTTTGGCGACGGGGGGGGTGGGGGGGGAGGTCGACAAAAAATTTTAGATCCGGAAAAATTTTTGTGAACCAGTGGGTTGAATTGACCTTGTTTTGACACCTTTCTTATTCTACTTCACTTTCTCGTCTCGGGTGGAATTAATTAACAACGACTCCCGACATTGGGATCCTCTTTCCTGTCTTTTCCCTCTTTTTCAAAAATGAAATAAGTGGCTAAAAATGGACGAAAAGTAAAAGCTATAGCCTTACTTTTTTGCTATTTTTTGCCGCTTTTTCAAAAATGAAATAAGTGGCTAAAAATGGCGAAAAGCAAAGGCCGTAGCCTTACTTTTTGCTGTTTTTTTGGCCACTTATGAAAAACGAAAAAAGTCGATAAAAATGGACGACAATTGAAGGCTATATATAGCCTTAACTATTTGCCGGTTTTTGGCCACTTATGAAAAATGAAAAAGTCGCTAAAAATGGACGAAAAGTTAAGGCTATAGCCTTACTTTTTGCAGTTTTTTGACCAATTATAACAAGTGAAAAGGCTATAGCCTTACTTTTTTCCTGGTTTTTGGCCACTTATGAAGAATGAAAAAAGTCACTAAAAATGGACGAAAAGTTAAGGCTATATAGCCTTACTTTTTGGCTGTTATTTTTGCCACTTTTTCAAAAATGAAATAAGTGGCTAATATTGGACGAAAAATTAAGGCTATAGCCTTACTTTTTTGTCATTTCTTGACTACTTTTTCAACAATGAAATAAGTGGCTAAAAATGGCCGAAAAGTAAAGGCTATAGCCTTTCTTTTTAGTCTTTTTGCCTCCTTTTCAAAAATGAAATAAGAGGGTGGGAAAGGGTATTTTCGTGAGCCGTCAATGATGAATATTTGTTCGTGTGAAATGCTTGATTTTAGTGTCGTGAAATGTGATGTGTTCTACAGCCGTGAGGCGTGATTGTTGATAAAAATGCTCCGTGAAATGAGAATTAAGGATGCCTGTTTCGTGAACTGTGATTATTATAGTGATTATTATAATAAACATGATACGCGATAATCAAATTTATATGATCTCACTCGATTGCACAAGATAAAAAGCGAGGTTCATGACGCTGAGGACAACGTTCCTGCTGGTGAGGACAAAGTTTCTGGCGATGAGGATAAGGTTCCTGGTGCTGAGGACAAGGTTCCTGGCGGTGAGGACAAGGTTTCTGGCGGTGATGAAAAGGTTCCTGGCGGTGAGGACAAGGTTACTGGCGGTGAGGACAAGGTTTCTGGCGGTGAGGACAAGGTTCCTGACGGTGAGGACAAGGTTCCTGACAGTGAGGAGAAAGTTTCTGGCGCTGAGGACAAGGCTCCTGGCGGTGAGGACAAGGTTCCTGGCGGTGAGGACAAGGTTCCTGGCGGTGAGGACAAGGTTCCTGGCGGTGAGGACAAGGTTCCTGGCGGTGAGGACAAGGTTCCTGGCGGTGAGGACAAGGTTCGTGGCGGTGAGGACAAGGTTCCTGACAGTGAAGAGAAAGTTTCGAGCGGTGAGGACAAGGTTCCTGACTGTGAGGACAAGGTTCCTGACGGTGAGGAGAAGG